CATGAGTGACTCATCAAGTTTTCCGTAGAACGTTTCCCTTGGGGATAATGACTTTTGGTTTTATCCACCCAACTTGGATGGGATGATGATGTTCATTCACCTCACTGTGAATGAATATTCTTTGAATGATGAAGTATACTCATATGGAAGGTTCTAGCACTGTTATTAATGAATTCCTTATGCGTCTAACTCCCTTCACAAAACACTAGTTTACCTTAGTTGCCCTTAAAGTTGAGGGAGTGGCCCCTACTCAGACTGAGCAACTGCTTCCCTCCCCAACTTTATTTCATGAACTTTGATTACAGCTCTGCTCACCCCTTGTCTTTCCAGACAATGAGGTAGAATTGTTTCATTCCTTCCCAGTAAGAAACGTGTTCTATTAAAAATTTTTATAATTGTTCTTCTAAGTCTTTTCTAAGTCTGCTATAGCCTTGTAGAGGCACAGAAGCCAAAATTGCCTACAGCAGTACAGGTGCAAAAGTTTTACATAAGCACAGGCTTATTAAAGCATTTGGCAAACAAAATTACATCTAAGCAAAAGACAAACCAAACTGTATCAAAAGCACAGAGAAATGCCACCTCACACACATTAGGATGACTACTAGAAAACAGATAAAAGAAATCAAAATAACAAGTGTTGATGAGCATGTGGAAAAAAGCTTTCATACTATCTACAGCTGGAAGGAATCAATAATGCTGCAGTTGCTATGGAGAACAGCAAGGTGATGCCCCAAGAAAATAAAAATAAATTTATCATAGGTTCCAGAAATTCCATTTCTGGGAAGAACTTTTCTTTGCAAAGGAATTGGAAGCAGGATCTTGAAGAGATACTATTGTATTTATACACCCACATCCCCAGCAGCATTGTTTGCAACAGCCAAAATGAGAAAGCAATTCAACTTTTCAACCCTAAATGAATGGATAAAAAACGTGGTATGTATTACATTCATGGAAGGGAATACTACTCAGACCTAATAATGGCTGTAAAAACATGGATGGAATTATGAAGCTGTTATGCTATGTTGCTACATGACAGTCATAGAAAGACAAATGTTATATGATTCCACCTATATAGGGACCTAGATTAGTAGGGTTCACAGAAACATAGAGCAGAATAGGGTTCAAAGGATTGAGGTTGTAGTAAGGGCAAGTGGAGCTATTCTTCAATGGGTACAGAATTTTAGTCTTGTATGGCCAAAAGAATTCTGGCGCTGGGCATGGTATTGCAGGTGTGTAACCCCAGCACTGTGAGTGGGGGGTGAGGCAGGAGGATCACAACAAGTTCAAAGCCAGCCTGGGCTACACAGAGGGACTTTGTCCCCCACCAAAAACACTTCTGGACATTGGTTGTACAGGGACCCGAATATGCTCAGCACTACACTAGGGGACTATGCACCTAAGAATGGTTAAGATGGTAAGAAACAAATACAACCAACATCTAGAGCAGAAAGTTTTCAGGATGATGTGCACATCACAGAATGAGGGGCAAAGAACTTGATCAAGCGGTAGCTGCTCCAAAAGCACCACACTTCTGCTGAGATCTCCAAGCAGTTGGCCCATGGACCACTTGTTTCATGGTCATTTTCTTATGCCTCTGAGGAAATAAGGGCCACCTGATGCTTCCTTTCTGTCACTCCCAGAACCTAGAGCTACAGACAGGCTGTTTTCAATAAGGGCTCACCAAATGTTTGCTGGTGGACTGATAGATGGAATGCCAAAAGGTTAAATGTGCATTGTGAAGACAGACCTTAGCTGACATAGGTCCTTGTCTCACCATCCATTAGCCTACTACAAACCAACTGACTTCTTTAAGCCTTGGTGCTCTTGGGCACAAATATTGAGGAAAGTAATATAGACTATTTCATAGAGCTATCTGGAAGACTTGTTCTTTGACTAGAAAAACCAAGGAAGGAAGAAAAGTACAGCAAACTCTTAGATTGAGTGAGCCCGGTTTACGCCCTTTCACCATTGTACTTACACATGTTCGCTAGACTCCAGCACTTGGTAATTACTCAGCACATAATTATGAATGTGCCATAGCACGAGGCTGAAAAATCATAATTTTGTTGAAAATACATTTTCCCAATAATTCCTCAATCTCCTTTTTTCCCCCCTGTATTTTAGGGAAGGGTCTACAGGGTGTTCATGGTCTCACTACTAGATCAGATTTGTAGTGATCTGCCTGTTTACAGCCTCCCAAGAGCTGGGATTATAGGCACGCGCCACCATGCCCAGTCTCAAGTGCTGTCTCAGCACGCCCCGGGGGCGGGGCCAGCACAGCTTGCTTGGGGATTGAACCCCTGGCCCCTGTGTCTGCTTGCTGGTGCTTTAATCCACTGAGCTATTTGGCCAGCCCTTCAGTCTACCTTTAAAGATTGTGTCATCTGTCTGCTGATGAAGTAGTTCACAATGGACTTGGATACCTGTGTTCATTTGTGGGAATCTTTAGGATTTTCAGGCCCCCGGGGAGTCTCTCCCAAGTATCTCGAGCACAATCACAACATGGAGATTGCAACATAAATAAAATAGACTCCTGCCCTATAATGCCTTGCAGTTAAGTGGAAGTAGGGGTGGGGGCACATGCTGGAGCACAAAGGAAAATGTGGTCCTGCTGGAGGGGGGTAGCATCTTGAGGGAACACCAGACCCAAGAGTGGGAAGCCTGAACTGGGTCATGAAGAGCAGGTGGGGTGGAAAAGGTAGAGAGGACAAGAGGTACCAGCATGTGAGGCAGAGGTGAGGGAGACGGAGCCACCAGCTGTCTCCAGGAAAGTGGAAGTCACTTCTATAGAGAGGGAAGTGGGGTGGGGAAAGCAGCTTTGGAGACTGGCCGGCCAGCACTGAGCTCTTCGCCTGTGACCAGAGAGGCTTACCAAGGGCGACAACCAGAGTGATCAGATGTGTGAAAGACACCTGTCCAAGTGGAGTGAGGAGTGGGCAGGGGGAGGCCTGCAGGGTGCAGAGGGCAGGCAACCCATTTAGGGGAAATCGAGGAGCAAGAGGAGATAAGGGAAAATAAGGAGGGCCTGCAGGTCTCAGCAGATGTGAGGTTGTCAAGCACTCCGGAGCTGTACGTGCAAGACCTTCCATTTTGATTGTCACCTGAAAAAACAGTGCTTGCATTTTTTTTTTTTTTTTACATGAATAGAGAAGATTCTATGAATCAACTTCAGCAGTCATGACTCCTGCTGGCTTTCTGTGCATTTGCTTCTGTTTCAACTCCAGGAGTTAACTTTGTTGTAATTCCATGGCTTGGTCTCAAACTGGAAATCAAATCATATTGGCATGCTGGCCAAGCCCAGCACAGAAGGTTTTGTCATCAAGAACCTGAGTACAGGAGCTCTGTGAAGAATCCTCAGGGCCAGCAAGATAGCTCAGCAGACTAAGCACCTGCTTAAGCAAGTGCAGGGGCCAGGGTTTGGTCCCTAGCTCCACATGCTGTGCTGGCTCTGCCCCCAGGCTTGCTGAGCTGGCTACTGAGTCCTGGCATGGTGGTGCACACCTGTAATCCCAGCACTGGGCAGGCTGAAAACAGGAGGATCACTACAAGTCTGTGCTGCATAGTGAGACCCTGCACAAAATTAAAAAAAAAAAAAAAAAAAAGGAAGCCCATTGAGCTCTACCAGCCCCAAGTCTGAAAGATTCTGCTGACTTTCAAGTTGAAAGTGATGGCTAAGCATGGAGAAGTGACCCTGAAGAGGCTCCAGGAATGGAAATGACAATGTGAGCAAGTCTATCTGCTTTGGGATACAGTGGAAGAGCTTGGATTATTAAGAAGTAAGGAGCGTGGTGTGGTGGTGCCTACCTATGATCTCAGCTGCTTAGAAGGTGACCTGAGGTCAGTGTGGACAACTTAGTGAGGCCTTGTCTCAAAGTAAAATAAAAAAGGCTAAGGAACGTATCCATATTCACTGTGCACTACTTACTCAACAAACAGCACTCCTCTCTTTAAAAGTAGATTGAAGAATTATTGGGAAAAATATTTTTAGCAAAATTCTGATTTCTTTTTTCTTTTTTTGGTAGTATCAGGAATTGAACTGAGGACCTTGAGCTTATGAGGCAGGTGTTTATACCACTGAGCTGAATCCCTGGCCCCAAAATTCTAATTTCTAATTTAAAAAGTCACAGTGTTTCAGTGCTTGCCTAGCATGGGTTCAAACCCCAGCAACAACAACAACAACAAAAAAAATAAATAAAAAAAATAAAAAAAAGAAAGAAAGAAAGAAAGAAAGAAAGAAGAGGAAGTAATGAAGAGTTGAGAAGATGCAAGACCCCATCAGACGGTAAGTCAGAACCACTAGACCTGGGCATACTTTCTGAGTGCTCTAGAATTACGCCAGGTGAGCTAATTCTGAAAGCACCAACCCTAAGGTAATGATAGGTGAATTACTACCATGTACATGTAGAACACCAGCTTTCAATTACCTAACAATTTTTATAACAAACTATGAACAAATGATTCATTCTACAAATAACAATCATTAAAAGTTTCTTTAGTATCAATCTACTTTGATATGGAGTACAGAGAATGTCACATTTTCATATGCTTTTTTTTTTTTTTTTTTTGGCGGAACTGCGGATTGAACTCAGGCCCTTGCGCTTGCCAGGGAAGTGCTTTACCCCTGAGCCATCTCCCCTGTCTTCATATGCTTTGAAATAACTTTTTCCTAATGTTTTATCAACTTCTCGACCCAGAGTTTCTAGGGTGCCCATGATCACCTTCTTGACCTCTGTGTCTTCAGGATTTTTCTCATCCTCCTTCCTTGTCCTCTCCTGGGCTCCTCCTCAGACTATTTGGAAAGCTTAACCCCAGGAAAGTAATGATGAAACACACACCAATGGCTTCTGATTCATACATGATCACAGCGCACACTAGCCTGTTGGTGACAGGACCGCAAGTGAGGGCAAACTCCAGCCACCTGCTGTGTGTCCCTGACAGGGCTGAGGTTCTAAAACCCACTGGAACAAAGAGACTAACAAGCGAAGAACGCGGTGTCTCACCCAGCTCCACATCTTGGTCATCGGTGAGCACAAGAATGATGTTGGGGCGGATGTTTTTTCGTTCCTGCTGTGTCCGTCCTCGGAACCTCGAGGACCTGACGGTCGAACACAGGACCCCCAGCAGCTCTGCGCCCAGGACAGCCAACGCTAGAGCACAGCAAGAATACTTCATTGTACTTGGTCCAGTGTCGCAAAACTGACCAGATGTCTGTCTCCCGAGTTCTGGCAGTCTGGACAGTCAAGAGAAAAAGCGAGAGGGAAAAAACTAAAATGAAATCCAAACCCCGGACACAGCTGCACAAAAAGGGCTGCAAAGAAGTCAGACTTGGCACATCCCCTGGCAGAGAGGCTGGAAGTCAGAAGCAGCAAACCCGCACAAGCACTGTGTAGTTCTTTAAGCGCTCGATTATTTTGCAAATTCACTTTTCTCCTTTATTCTCAGTCCAACTTTTCCTATTTCAATTCAAAGCCAGAGTATAATTTGCAGCACAGAGCTCAAATGTAAAAGCTTTCTGACAAGAGCTAATACCTTGAATTAGGTATCCTGGTTGAATAATCAATTTCTAGACTCGGAGGTATTCAGAACAGCTGCAGATGGCATCCTAAAAGGGGGAGGAAAAAATACAAAAGCAACATCAGTCAAGGGGTTTGAAGCAGATTTTGGGTCTGAAGTAGTCTCATGAAACAGCCTTCAGGTGTGTACATATTTTGTGTATTTTTTTCTTCTGTTCTTCAAAAGGAACACAAGGAATAATGCAGAACAGCTAGAAAATGACTTAAATAATGCCTTTATTTCCTAATCAGCTCTGTAAAATAATGCCAGCATGTCACCCCTTTCACACTTGCGTAGTAATGTAAACATTCTTAGCAAAACTAGTCCTGGTCAATGAGGGCCGACCTTGTCTGGGAAGCCCATGTGTCTGTGTGCAGGAGGCGAGTGCGGGAGGTTAACTCACCTGCTTAGGACGCTGAGCACCTATCAGGCAGCACAAAACGCAAAGCTGTCACTTGTTATCTGTGTTCTGTCACTCATTGCCCACCAGGGTCTGTTCTGCTGACGAAGCCTTCATAGTGAGTGACTGAGAGAACAACCTTCTCCAGTACCCCAAAAGCTCCTGAGCACCTTCCACCAGTCACCAGGGAAAGGCGCTTCCTGCGGGCAGGCTGCTTCTCTGTCCAGCCTGTTTCCTGAGCCCTTGTGCCAGTGCCCACACGGGCAGTGTCCCTACGACTGCCTGCCAGTCACTGGGCTGCTGCTGTCCAGATCCCGAGCTACTGCAACAGCCTTTGGGGTTCACTTTTTTGTGGCAGATCTGAACCTGCAGGGCAAGATGCCTGGTGGCACTGAGGTGGCCTTCCACATCAGAAAGTAAACAAATGAGATTCAGAGGAAAGGGCTGAAAAATCTTAGCAAAGCTGCACGAAAGAGACTTTGAAAGCGTTGGAAAAATGCCCCTCACTTTGGCACGCTGATCTGTGGAAAGCTTTGCTCTTGGACTTCTGAATCATAGTAAGGGGCTCATTTAAAAAAAAAAAATCTTTCTCTGATCATGTCATGAGGAACACTCTTTACAGGAATGTAAACTCCTCTAAAATTAATTAAAGAGCAGCCTGCAACAACAGCCATTCTGTCCTCACACACCCGATGATGTGTATTTTGATCTGCAATAATAAACTGGCGCCTGATCAATAAGCATAGTGTAAGCCTCCAACAGCAGGCGGAAAGGGCTCCATCAGTCAGTCATTCCTCGCTTTAAGTTCTGGAGGGGACCTGGGGCATTGAGGAAAGAAAGAATGTGCACTGTTTATCTCTGCCGAACACATCACTTAGCTTTATACAAACACACACACACACCCCTATCATTTTAAAACTATGAGATGTTTTGTAAACAGTTCTAATGCTTTTTGCTCCATAGTCTGTAATTACATCGTGTGTGTGTGTGTGTGTGTGTGTGTGTGTGTGTGTGTGTGTGTGTGTGGAGAGAGAGAGAGAGAGAGAGAGAGAGAGAGAGAGAGAGAGAGAGCAAGGAAAAAAGATTTAAAATGAAAACCTTGAATCTGCAGCAGGACAGCCCTGGCTTGCTACATTATCTGTGAAGGAAAAGCCCTGGGTCCTCCGGCTCTGGGAAGTCAATATGTCTGATTTGGAGCGTCTTCCTTGATAACTCAGGGCTACTCAGGTGACCGCTGGGCATGCTGAACACCAGAGGCCTGCAATCATTCTGCCCTGACTGTTTGGCTCGTGTGCATTTGTTTTAGATCACGAGAAGCCTGATTCAAGCACGAAGACAGGAAAGAGCAATGAGATGTTAGACAACAGCTTGTGGCCACTAAGATTAGGGCAGGCTCGCCAGTTATATACAGAGAGCTCACACAGTGTTGGTCCTCTAAGAACAATGTCTGGCTCACCTCTGGAAGCCTACAAGGGTGTGGAGGGACAGCGAACGGGGTTTTCTTGCACTCAGTACGGGGAGCAAGCTGCCTCTCTGGACAGGGGCCACCGGGAAAGGAAGCTCACTGCACCTGACGGACAGGGTACTTGAGTTTAAATAACCAACCACCCATGAAAGTTCTTGACAATTAAAATGCCGGCGACACTCCTTGGAACTCAGTCAACACTCCTAGTCATTCTCTGTCTTATTTCCTTTACTTCTTCCCTTAAGGAAAAGCAAAAGAGCCTTAATGGCATCTTGTATAAACTATTAGAAATATAAAGAGAAGGGAAGATAAAGTCGGTGCTGCCTTTACCTATCCAGTGACTTTTGCTCCTGGTGAACTGAAAGTGCAGAAGACGCCTGTGGTGTTTGTTATCAGCACAATTTTTTTTATTAAACTATTTTAATTTTTCATGGACGGATGCTAATTGCCTAAACCTCTGTGGCACGATGTAATGTTGGACACAGCAGCACATTGTGAAGGTGTATCAAGGTCATTAACACAGCCATCAGCTCATCTTTTATCTCTTCTGTACTAAGAACATTTAAATCTGCTCTCTAACAATTTTGAAACACAGAGTTAACAAACTGTGGTTACCTTGTGTGACATAGACCCTGGAAGGTCATTCATTCCTTTAGCACACTGCTCTGTGACTCCAATTTATTATGAACACTAGGAATTTATTTGTAAAGGCGTACACACTGAACAACAGAGAAAGCCCAAAGGTTCAGAATGTCTGGCGAAGGGCCTGTCCACCCTTTGCCCCTGCCCTTGCTGGGGCATGCCAAGCACCTCTTCAGAGCTACCACGGGCAATGCCGGGATGCAGCTCTGGGGTACAGTGCTTGCCAGCCAGGGTCCAAGCCCTCGGCCCTCTGTGCAGTCCCCTGCACAGGGTGGGGGCTAGGGGGCTCCCTATGCACAGACAATTCTTTATTTAGAGATGACTTTTTAGAACCTGTCATCCCCTCTCTGCCTAGCTTCCAGCTCCAGAAGGAAAAGAAGTAAAGAAGTGGGAGAGGGCAGCTGACAGACAGAATGCAACTTGACAGAAAAGACAAGGATGTGATGTTTGAATCGGATACTTTGTGAAGGACAAGTGTCTTTTGAGACTAACAATTTGTCTTGAGGAAAAGGAGGAAACTGGAGAAATGTAAAAAAGAGATTTTTCTCACCCACAGAAAGTGAGCCTGAGGAATGGCGCTGTACTCACATGCTGGGACCAGGATACAAGTTGTCTTTTCTCCAAGCCATAGAATGAAAACTTCAACTATAGTTTTGGTCAAATGGCAGGGAAAGTCTACAGGATGCTGTTTGAAGCAGTCAACCCAAACAGTGCATGTGGCGTGATATGTTTCAAGTCACATACAAAAAAAAAAAGATAAGAAGGCTTTAAGCTAATAGGAGAGAAAGCTTAGCTCACATGGGCTGCGCTGGCAGTGTGGCAGACTACTGAAGCCCTCACTTCCTATAGGACTGAGGGGTGCTTGGCCTTCACCAAAACCCCTTTTATGGGCAGTTTTCAGGGGATGCTGGCGGGGGCAGTGTGTACAGCTTAGTGCAAGGTAGGCACGAGGCCCTGGGTTCAATCCTTAGCATTACAAAATGAAGTAAAACTAAATTAAGAAAGAGACAATGGCCAAATATGCTAACAGACCCCGCTCCTCTTGTCCCCAGACAAGATTTCCACTTTTGGGGGGACCCTGACACACTTGTTTAGGGTCCATGAGGTCACAATTATTTTTGATGAGAATACTGACACATGATTTTTTTTTCCTACTTTATTAATTTTGCAACTCCTAACAGAAGGGCACTGGATGGAGTCACACTAAACTGCCTTCGTGTTAGTATGGATAAATCAAGCTTCACACACAGTTAAGAAATAGGCTGGCATCACTTACAGTGATCAGTGAAAGGACTGATTTTATTAAATCTTGACCTTCAGTACAAACTTCTTTTGCATATCTTGTTTGAGAAAACAGGCGATGCGCAGAAAGCCCGCTGCTGCTCGAGAATAAATGGGTATCTTTTGGGAAAACACTTTCACATCTGAGCCCCAAGCTCGTTTCTTCATGAAGCTCTATTTTTACTTAAATAATTGTTTTTACTTAAATAATTACATGGATTCAGACAGCTGGCAAATATTTTCCTAACAATGAATGAAACAAGCCTATTTTTTAAAAAACACTAAAAAACAAAGTACCTGATAGTATTTATTACTAAAGATAGAAGTCCACGCTGAGAATGAAAGTTTGTGCTAATATTGTTTAGACAAGATATCATGTCTGCATCTTGTCCTCTGAATAACTACTATGAGGACAACAATATGCAATGTATTAATTATTGTAAATGTCCTACTAACCTGTTTTGAAACTGTTTCATCACTATTTTATCTTTTTTTCTCATTAAAATGAATATCAATTATATATACAAAACAAGAACAGCCGTTCAGGTAGAAAGAGTGAAACCTGGGGACAATCACCTTCCTCTACACATCAGTTCCCTGCAGTGACCTCACGAGGTTGCTGGGAAAATTTAAATGGGATGATAGTGTGAGCAACAAGCATCACACTAGGAGTAATGAAATTGCTAAGTGTTAAAAAAAAAAAAAGAAGACAGAAGTCTAGCTTTTAGCTTTTCAGTCCAAATTGAAAGGTTAGAACATGTGTATCTCAGGGTAATCTTGGCAGTTTTCTAAAAGTTAAACCTTTTTCTGATGATATTGGTAGTGATAGCCATAAAGGGCATTTTTTAAATATTGCAAGATAAAATGTGTCAACATTTATAATACTTGCATAATTTGGTAAGCCAGTATTTTCCTATGACTACAATACTACAAATATCATACATGAGGGCTGGGAAGATAGTTCAGCAGTCTAAAGGCCTGCCTGGCAAGTGCAAGGACCCGTGTTCAATTCCCAGTACTGCATGCTATGCTGGCCCCGGAACCCTGGGTGTGCTGTGCTGACCACCAGAACTGGGTGTGGTGGGGACTCCTGTGATCCCAGCTGTGGGGAGGCTGAAACGGGAGGATCATTATCAAACTGAGCTGTGTAGCGAGACCCTGTCCCAAATAAATAAATGATTTTTAAAAAATTTTAAAAATCACACATGAGTAAAATATATTCCAAGTATAAGTTGACCACTGGATTTTAATATAATATTAA